GRAAAAAAATATATACYAGTATCCCAATCYGATCACTTCTATAGCARCAAGAAAAYTCTCAATGYTGCTGTGYTGTTTTGACATAAGCAGCCCCGACCACTAAGCTGCCCTCAACAAAACTTCCCTGGAACATGAAACCAGAATCTAAAAGTACAAATGGATAAAGCAACCTGAAATTGATGGTTCAGCAGATGGATGATAACCACTGTTTTCTAAATCTTCTGGATTGTTTTCACAGAGTCTCTGAATTTCACACAAAAAAGTGTACTCAGTTTTAAACTTATCCATCAAGAGCTTGCAGTTAGTAACTAGAATTCAATTTTGGCATAAAAGTCATCTGTTAAAATGTTTTTAGGAAATCTACAGGAATCCCACACAGAAAAAAAAAAAAAAATAAGCCTTCTCCTGTACTATCCTACTGGGATACTTGAAATATCTGTGGCACARATTTCTTCTCTTGATACACCATTTTCTTAAGACAGAATGACCAGCTAGCATAGACAGAAGCTACAACAACTAGGAAGAATTGGGACACAACACTTTATACTCTCTAAAATATACCCAAATGTTCCCATGCTSAAGAAGAAAGAAGATAGTACCTACAAAATTAAGAGATTACTGTGGGTTTTAGATTGGTTGTTTGTTTTTGCATCCATCCCATAGCAATTAGCTACTTCTTTCTCTTATCTTCCTAATCCAACGCTGTCATCTTTAATGGTATTAAAATAACTTATTAGGTAAGCAAAGGACACCAAAACTGGCAGGGCAGGTTATATCAGATCAGTTAGAAAGAAAATAGATGTGACCTCATCAATAAGATTTTATKCCAGTGAATTTCTCCTAGACTCGCTGCCTTGTTACCACAGCATAACTTCCATAACACTTTATTGGAACCTGCTTGTCACATCCAGTTCAAGCAGATATCTGACAAAACACCTCTACCTAGGTCTTGCAAGAAGATATGAAGTATTTTTACTCTCCCCACTAATCTTTCTACCTACTGTGGAAGGAAAAGAGATCTCCATTCTTCCACTCACACCATCCTTGACACAAAGTAAAGGGAACTGCAACATGGGGAGCAGGGGAGGAAGCAGTTTGGAAAAGCCTGATGCTYTTCTTCCTCTCTGCTTATTAACACTGCCTTCTGCACTCATATTACCAGCTTTTTAACAGGCAGCAGCTGAGAACAGAAAGCCTAAGTTCTCACATGGAGTTCTGAAAATAATGAGACTGGTCATATTTTTTTTTTTCCAGCCAAGCTGTTGCTCAGCTAGCAACAGATAAGGCACAACTGAAAGACTGTGGTTCCGCTTCACCATAGCTGGCCTAAGTGACTGCCCCTCTAGTTCCCCATCCCCTCCCACTTCTCCTTCAGGTTCCCGGTTCTGCCTTGCACAACTGCCTACTGAAGCAGTCAAAGCTTTAACTGACAAAGATATTACTATTTTTCATAAACAAATTACTCTTTCTCCGTTGGCTGGCTTTCTAAAGTAGCTCATGACACGACTGCACAAGCAGCATCGCCAGCATGAGGTGAGATGTGTGGCTAGGAACAAGAAGGGAGGCTGTGACCATGCAGGGCTAAGATGGAGCTACTGAAGTCTTTATTACCCAAGCAACTACTAACATTTGCAGTATTACTGTGCATTTACAAAGCTGAGAGAGAAACGACAGCTCCCCCAGACTTCGGGAAAAGATTCTCAATCAGTGATTCCTCCCTAAGCCCAGGCCTGCAATTACATATTAAGATGAAGTCATCAGAAGAGAGGAGCCTCTCCCTTCCCAGCTGGTGTAAAGTACTAGGTCTATCATCAGCAGAAACAAAAGAAAACGAGAAAAAAGCAACAATGACATGTAAACACAACTAAGGTTAAACATCTTATACAAGATCACAGATGATCAACTCTGAGCAGTAAGCAAAGGGGATAGGAAGAACTGAAATTTTCAGCTGTTCGTTATTCCGCACTCTCTCAGGAATATGACATTACAGCTAGACGACACTTCTGTCAGACTCCTGCCTTTTAATCTTAAATTCATTTATATCCTGGCATTTGGAGTGCCTTTTTGCCCAGAACCACTTGAGTCCTACCTGCTACCTCTTTCATTACGCTAGCTGAAGGTCTCTAGTAGCTTTAGATTACCCTCTCCGTTCCTTTGTGGTTATGTGATAGGCTAAAATCCAACAGAGAAATGAATCAAGAGATACTGAAACAGCATAAACAGTAATAAAGGGGGGGAGGGGGGGGAAGCCTTCACAGAAATTACATAAGTCAAAGGCTGCCCTATTTTCATCCATTAGAAAGAAATAATAACAAAAAATTACCTTGATTTCAATGTTTCCCACTTTAGCAGTTGATCTTATAATAGGTCTTCCAACCAAAGCTGGAAAAATGTGCTCTGGAAAGTTTGAGCCTGCATAGCCACATTTCACAAACTGAAAAGAAATAAAGAATTGGGTTAGAATATGCATTTTTATTTGTTTACTACCAGAAACCTGTTTTAGCATAGCAACATTAGGTCCCCTGATTTAAAAGTATTTCCCACTGGAAGTCAGCTGGATTTATGCTTTCAAATCACTTTTGCACATTTTCAATGTTGTCTTGATCCATAATACTGAACAGAATGTTTTTTAAAGGAAGTGGTCAAACCTTGAAGGAACAGCACTAAAGCTACTAACACAATAAGAGACGTAACAGCTTCCAGCATTTGTTTTTTTATTCCTTTCTATGTAAAACTTCTCCAGCAAGCCGAAACGGATCATTTTGAAACAGATCACCTTTTAACAAGCACCCCATGAGACCAAATTAACTAAGTTCTCCCATGAGAGGGAAAGGCAGCAGGACACGCATAAGAAAGAAGCACAACCACATGAATTTAAGTATTAAGCTGTTACATAAAGGGCTCAATAGGGAGTAAGCAGTGAGAATCTCTGAACAATTCAGATTCATTTTTATCAAGAGTTTCAGAATTTTCAGAATTTGTTTTAAGGGAAAAATTATGAGTTTGCAGTAAGCCCTTCCAAAAGGTACAGGACAAATGAAACCTTAGCTGATAGTAATTCACAAACAAACCAGACTAAAATGCTTTTTGTTACTAAATACATATGAACAGAAGACGTTCTATGTCACTGGGAAAGAGCGAGTGTAAGAAATACACACGTTCAGTTGAGGAAGATCACATGTTCTCCAAAAACTGCAAGAAGCTACAATTTAAGCTAATGGCAATCAGCAAATTAGCCACTCCAATCATACTGCTCTGATGCTTATCAGGATTAATACAGAGCAGGTTTCTCTTCTTTAGTACGTGCTCAATATATCATGGTGTGGCAGTCCAGCAGAAGAAAACCATGCAGTCCTGAACCAAATATGACACATTTTGTCCTGCAAAATTACTGAGGCAACTAGGGGTAACAGACTCATAGGATCCCTTGGGCAGCTCTCAAATTCAGCCTTAAGCTCATGTTGCTCTGGGCTTTGTCCGGTTAGATGTCAAAGGCCTCCAAGGACAGAGAAGGGACAATGACTTTGGGCCTCATCTCAATCACAAATTATCTATTTCAGGTTGAATTAAAAGCCACTTGTTAGAATCTCCAAAATTCTCACTGAATTTTCTGAAGTGAGTTCTAAAGGTTTCTGCTAAAGCAATTACCATAGCAAAGGGTACAACTAATTACGCTAGCTAAAACCAGCATGAATTAGTACTTCAGATAACAGATCCTTATTTACTTAAGAGTTTAAATGTTTAACTCCCTTAGCACCCAGTAGAAAACACACAATGGTGGAGGAAAGGAAAGGAAAGAAATGATTTTGCTTTTTGTGGCCCTCATCATTTTCCCCCATTCTGCGACTGCTGTCTCCAAAGGCAGAGCTATTGGGCATATACAGTGAAAGATATTGTATAAAAAACTCATTTCACTTACTCTCGTTCAAGCTGTGTTTTCAGAAAAGGCCAGCACTTATCACCCCTTCGCTACTTTAAAGGAGTTATATAGATTTCACTTATGTATTCGAGAATGTGGTGCTGCTATGAAAAACCACAAGCATTTTTGGATCGCACTACCTGCATGTGCCAAAAGACTTTACAGTTGGCCTTTTACATCACAGGAAGCRCTTGAGACAGCCTGAAGGACCAAGCTGAGCCCAAATAACGGTGCGCAGTTTTTTACAAAAAATAATCTCCCTTTCAGGCTTGCCAAATTACCACATGCAGAGCAATCACACAATTTTTATTACTGCTACAATGTTAACATACACTTGCTATGGATCAGAATTTCACTGTGCACTGAAATTTGGGTAAGTTAGCAGGAGACCCTGTAAAAGAGTCTGAACAATCATATCCTCCAGTTTAAGGATGCAGAATTCGTACAAGCCCAGCCATAAGCTCCTTCAGGCAGCCCAGACACCCAGACAAATCTTTACAACTCGGCCTAGCGGAACTTGGACTCCAGAAGCTCCGCTCTCAACATCAGAACGCTGAATTCCAAAAATACCTGGTCTAAGCTCTTGTAGTTTGAACTGGAATAGTAACTCCTAGCACCTTTCTACGCTAAGCCCTCAGGGATTTGACACACCTTCCCAAAGATTATGTGATAGCAGCATACTGACAACAACAAATGCCTCATTTGGAAAACAAATTGTCATTTTTACAATTTCACAACCAGCCTGTCTGAAATAAAAACTAGATTTAGTCTATCTGAAATACGATGAATAAGACTGAGCTTTGGCATTCACAGACCATTCCCTTCCCCTTTCTCAATGGAACTAACAACCTTAAAAACGACATTTTTACAAAACTCAGTAGCAAACAGAACGGGGAAAAATTTACCTCCCCTTGCATAGATTATATTTTTTCCCCTAGGCTACAGAGTTATTTGGTGAAGGTGAGAACAAGTCTAGCTCATGTGTCAGCCTCTTTCGACTCTTTTCCCAGGGTTGGGTTCTACCTGCCCTTAGATAGATAGATAGATGATATTCACCTAGTTTAGTAGGTTCCTTAGGACACAACATTGGTTATTACAGGTAAAGGAAAAGACCTAATACTAGCAGTAGTTAATTCATCCAAGGGACAAAAACGTGTCCATTAATAATAGATCCTGGACAGTTTTCGTTTTTTGAAGGAGAATAGGAAAAAAAAAGATATTTTCCCTCCTTATCCCCCTTTCCCCTCCTCCTTATCCCCCTATCCCCTCTTTGTTTAAAGATTATGAACTTAGCAGTTTGCGATATAGCAGGTTTTCATTTTCTAATGAATTCATTGCCCTTTCCACTTTGAATATGAAACMTTTCAACAAAATTTAACCACAGCACACTTATTTCTCTCCCATTCATTATTGGATACACCCCTTGAAACAATCTTCATGTAACTTCAGTACAGTGCTTACTATGTACCATGCTTGTAACAGTAAAAATGCAGTGAATTTGCACATCTCTTCAAGGAGGCCAAGAGCTCAAAATCACGCATTTTTTTCAAATGTTTGCTCTGCCCCAGGAGCATTTTAAGAATAGCACTTAAGTTCGCCTGTGTGCAAGACCACATATGTAAGAGGTTTTACCATATATAGTTTCTTCTCCATTGCACTGTGGTTTGTACTGACTCTTTCACTTCCTACTGAGTCATCAAGCAGCAAGCACTTGTATGTATAAGTATTCTTTCAAATTAAAAGAATGAGGAAGCTTTCTACATCTGCTCATAAACTTATCACGTGACAAGTCTTAACAGGAATATTTTTCTTATCAGCTATCTCTGCTTGATTCTTTTAATTGAAGGAAATCCTAAACAAAGATCRTTAATATAACGAGAACAACTGTCCAGGTCATTAAGGAAGTCACTGTTTGACTTGTACTAAGAATCCACCTCRATTGCTCTAAGATGGCAGCGAGAGCCTCTCTCAGAACATGTGTTGCAAGAACACACTTCTTCATCACTTCTTCCGCAAAGACTGATCACAGCCAAATGCATTAAAAACTCGTATTTTAGCACAATGCAAACAGTATGCTTTCAGATAAGTCAAAAGTTAAAACTGGATCTAAAATTTCTAAAAATATCCTGCACTTTTATTTTTAGCACTAAGCAAGAGATGCAAGGCAGCGTTTAWTAAGACATATCATAGGGTATCAGGCAGTTTTCTAACACAAAGCAGCTCTTTTTTATTATATAACAATATTTACTAAAAAACCACAAGTTTGGCAATAYAGAACTTGAGAGTCTCAAAATATTCTGATCTTACGAACTGAATTTTACTGAATTTATCCCAATTCAGTCTGAATATTTTAAGTTTATAGCTTCAACACCAATCATGTGCTAATACTTCACACTGCACATAGTTATCTCTGGGRCCAGGGGATGTCCATACATGCACAGTTCTGCTCAGAGCTAAAACTCAGCCCCAAAAAACAGAAGCTGAAGCAAAACACACCCCTACTCYATGGATACAGCAGCAGTGTAACAGWAACTGTCATATTTATTTGTACCCAGGTGGTACAAYTGATGCAGGGAAAAAAAAAATCAGATGTCTCTTTGATTTAAAAACAAATACACATGGTACCTAACTGGGTCCCAATGACAGCTTGTAAAATTGGATGAAAATAACTGCTTCTGTGTCAGGTTTCATCCCTGAGATTGACTACAGTGTGACACGATGTATTTAGTAACAACTAATTCATTACTAATTCATAAAAACTGTATTAAAGCAACAAATCCATAAACTACATCAATTTCTACCAAAGCCAACAGAATGAGTATTTAAATACTTAAAAAAAAAAAAAAAAAAAAGAAAGAAACACATAATCCAGCTTCCATATCCATTTGTAAATGAAAAAGGATAAAACTCTTTTCCTTCTTTTCACTACAGGATAGTGTAAAAAAGGCCCAAAGGCATTATGCCCTATTAAAGAGGATTTTTCTAAGGGATGAAAAAACTTCAGAGCTGTCAAATCTGATATTTTTCTTTTGGAGCCACTCGAATCATCTCACATGCTTATTGAAAGCTCCTTCCGAGATGCAGCATCCTGCCACTGGAATTAACCATGAGATTCTTTGTATTGACTATTTGATCTTCAGCTTTAAATATTTTTGTCTTTATTCAAAAAGAAAAACAGAGAAAACTTCCCTTTTCTCYGGCCATTCCAGAGTTCCTGATGTGCTGTCAGATTTGTTAGCTCCCCGGAGGGTTTTACTGGAGAACGGATCTCAATTTCCGAACAAAACGACTAAGGGGGAACCCACCTATAACACCTTATCTGTCGCCTTTAGAAATGGCATCTTTGTCACTTCCTGCCGAGGCGCCTCCAAGCCTCCCCAACAGCAACAAACGCGCAAATTTCTCGCGTGGGCGCCTGTGCCTAACGCAGGGCAGCAAAGCGGGAGGAAGAGGAGGAAACCTTTGCGCCCCCTTTATCAAAGGGACCCATTCTGGGGGGATTTTTGCAGGTCGCGAGGCTCTTAATGAAAGGATCCCGGCGCCTTTCCACCACGAGCTCTGCGAGCTGTCTCTACGAGGACAGGAAACCGGCACGTAGGGGGGGTGTAGCGCAACGAGGCGGATCACCTCATCTTTCATACTAACATATACATAATTTACGAGATATATATAATTTAGGTATGTATTTTACGCCYGGCGCGCCTCGCGCAGGGGAAACCSGCGGGATCCCCACGCGGGAGCAGAGCCCGCGTGCTCAGAGGGCTCCGCGGGCGCGGCGCGGCCCGGCCCCCGCCCCGGGCCATTCATTCGGTGCCCGGAGGCCGCGGCCGGGCCCGGCGGTGGGGGGGCGGGCGGGCGCGGCCCGGACGCCGGCAGGAAGCCGGCCCGCGCCGGGGCGGAGACTCGCCCCCCTTGTAGCGGTGCCGAAGCGACTCACCCCGGTGCCGTTGTCGCACACCACGACCTTCCTGCCCAGCGTGTCCATGGCGCCGAGCGACCGCCGCCCCAACCGCCGCCCCAACCGTCACTGCCGCCACCTCCCGCCCCGCCGCGCGCCGGAAGCCGTCACGCCGCCGCGCCGCCCAATCGGCGCCGCCGCCGCGCCGCCAAGGCCCGCCCCTTCCCCCCCCGCCGCGTTGCCATGGCGGCGCCCGGCGGCCCGCGCGCTTCCGGGGGCGGGTCTCTGTGGCAATAAGGGCTGTGGCCGGGGGTTATTTNTTTATTTTATTTTATTTTATTTTATTTTATTTTATTTTATTTTATTTTATTTTATTTTATTTTATTTTATTTTATTTTATTTTATTTTACTTTATTTTACTTTACTTTACTTTACTTTATTTTACTTTATTTTACTTTATTTTATTTTTTCTCCTTCGATTTACAGTTACAGGCTAGCGGGAACAATCCAAAATTCCTTAAAAACCTAGAACATGCCCCATATCTGCCTTTTTTTTTTTAATTTTTTCCCCTTTCTCCCTCGCTGTAACGATGCCCAGGAGCCGGGGGCGCTGAGAGGACGTTATCCAAAAGGCCCTGTCTGGGAGGATGAGGAGGCTGCCCGAGCCAAGAGGGACCAACCCGGGGCCATGGAGCCGTTTGGGGAGGATTCCTGAGGATCCCTGGCGCTCTGGAGCAGCAGCAGCCTCCCTGGGTACGCACTGCGCTCCCACAGGTGACACGCTCACGGTTAACAGTCATTCCGAGTTGTTTCCAGCGTGTGAGGCTGGTGAAAGGGGAGGCTTCAGCAGTCAGGTCGGGATGCCTGTAACCTGGGAGGCCTGAAGGAAACAGAAAGCACTGGTTAACGCCTCTGASATTACGTGTTCACAGTGTCCTTATAAATATGCTGAAGGTTTTAATTCAATTATACATAATAATTATGTATATTATCAATAATTATGTATTATTATACATAGTAATCGATATATCGATTATTAAGTATAATCAGCTTTGCTACACGATCCCTTTTCTAAAGGGAGGCATATTGGCTATAAGTAAAAGAAAAATCTCTGTTTTAAGGGATTGGTTTGAGAATTGCATTCCGAAATTAAAGCCGCTCAAGAAACTGGTTAATTTACTGGCGTAGCACGTAAGGCTGCCCATCCAAGGGAGGCAAGTCCTGTAACGGATATAGGCCCATTAAGGAGGAATGTATATGCTGCACGGTATAGTCATTAAATCCGTCACTGTGCTTGCTGCCAACTCCTGCTGTCAGTTGTTGGGCAGCCTTAAAAGGTTTGTRGGGTTTTGCTAAAAGTCACACGCAGTGTAGGAGAGGAAACACAATGTGGTTTATGGCTTGACTGCAACAGAGCTTGTTTTAGGGGTGTAATTGAACTGTGAAACTGCTTTTTTTTTTAAGTTAAAAGGAAAGTCTCCATTAAGGAAGGTTACAGAGCGTGGCAGCAAGAGTGTTAATGGGAAGGAGAGAAGTTGTRGTGCAATATTTGGCATTGCCCTTTGCCACGAGCCGGGAAATGGAGAATGTTGCCCGTGTTGGGGGCYGCAGGAGATGCCCGAAGCTGGGCAGATTCTGGGATGTGTCAGTATTTGGCAAGTGCTTGGACCATGCTGCAAGTACAGTGCATTTATTAATGAGTTGTATCTTGGGTGGAATATACTACAGGTAYATTTGTTGTAGGTCAGGTATGTGATGCAAAGATATATTGGAGGGGAAAGCTTAAAAATCGGGGAATTTATGGGTAAAAGCGCAGGCTACCATATGCATTTGAATTGTCTTTTACGTACATACATATATATTTACRTATATGGTATGTATTCCATTATGTATTCTAGGTAGTACATCCTGCTCAGAAGGTTGTGAAGAAATATGCAAGCATATAATAATRACTAAACATGTTTTCTGTGGTTGTGGAATCTAACAATCGTGTATACATGCTTTATCATTTAGTTTTCTTGCAGTTAGTTGGAACATATCTTTGCAGAACACGGAATAAGTGGAAAATTTCGCTGTCAGAAGCATTTGAGCTCCACTTGGTGTAGTTCTTGAAGGGCTAATACTACTAATAGTAATCATCACTTCGAAGTGCTAATGCTACTAATAGTAATCATCACTTTTGGAGGAATCCTTTTTTGTTTCCTATTGGGGTATTTTGCCCCTGTCACAGAACTATTTCATTACTTCAGCAAAATGTGTTGTCTCATTCCCAGAAAGAATCCCTTTAAAAATGACTATACGCTTGGTATCATTTGTTGGATTTATGAAATAATGTATGTAACGAGTTACAAATATTTAGGGATTCTGAATACCTATAAATAGATGCTGGTTTTAAAGGACAGATGCTCAGCAAGCCTGGATTTCCGTGAAGGACAAGAGGGGCTGGATTCTCCTCCCCGTTTAGCACCACCCAGCCAGCTCATGTGAGTTGGAAACAGTGGCATGATTGCAAAACATCTTCTTGCAGATCATAGATAAAATGTAGGTTACACTACCATGCTCAAGTGAGGCATTTGGGTAAATCATTAAAATATGTTGAGAACAGGTTTTTACTGCTGGGATTTCCCAGTAACGTTTCTTCAAAAGATGGAGAAAACTCTTTTCCTCTTTAGTGTCATTGAGTTGGAAAATAGGAGCTACTAATTTTATTTGTTTCCAGATAAACACAAGAACATAGTGTATAGGTCGCTTTATTTTTGAAATTTGATGCAAATAGGCCCCCTGTGTGACATTGTTGGTGTAYTGGGCATCTGCTATTCAAAGTTTTTAAAGCACACTTGAAAACAGTGAAATTATAATATGGAATTCAGAAAAGACAAATCAATAGATTTCGATCACTGTRTGTGTGAGGATGTTCTGGACAAAGCCTAGGTCCTTGTAGGGCGAGTATTAGAAGGTTGGGACCTAAACAGTTTATGGATCTATAGCAATGCAAGGAAAACCTGTCTTTTCAACTGTGTCATCTTATTTGAAGCGCTTTAATTTTTGATGACCTTAATTGAAGTCCTGATATGTGCAAATTAAATGCTTTGGGCATAGAAAGTCACTTACTGCAGGCGTCGGGATGCTCTAGGACTGTCTTCCCTTGCCTCAAATATTTTCGTTTTGCCTAGGTAAAGGCAGTGGATGAAGGCTATTAATAAACCTGAATTATCCACCTAAATCTAAATCATAGACTGATGCCCAGTCCTGTGCATTAGCCACAACACTGACTTTTTAATACTTGGAACATGAATACTGGCTTTTTCAAAAGTAAATGTAGTTTTCTGAGAGCCAAAGTTTGTTTTTACCTCAATTTTTCGAAGACTAGAGAGACTCCAAATCAGTAGATACTTCATTGCTGTGGAGGTTCAGCCCCTTGTGAAGAAATGTCATTTTATTTAGTTATTYATTTTTTACCATTGCTCATTTTTATGCAAAAGGTTATTTTCAGTTTCTAGATAATAATTTTACGTGAGTATATACCTGATCTCCGTACAAACATGACTCTGGATAGCCATTCATTAGAAGGAAAATATTGCTATGAGCTATCAGATTTTAAGAGTATCCCTTAACTTACTCTATTTAATAGGAATATTCAGAAAAGCAGAAGAATTCCTGAGAACATAACACCTCAGGTAAAGCAAACCAAAAAGATTTTTTTGTTGTGTTTCAAAGGAAATCATCCTTTCAGGGGAAAAAAAAAAAATAAAAAGGAGTTTATTTTTAAGAGAATTATTGTCTGTCAGGGCACATAGTTTGCTCACAGTTGCATATTACACCTCACAAATCAAAACATTGCATGCAGAAGGCAGGTAGAGATACTGAGATTCTTGTGTGTGATAGGATGCCAACATGAAAATTGAAGTTATTTTGTTTAGAGAGAGTAATAATTTTGTTTTGAATAAAGTGAAGAGAAAATAAGGCAAGGCTACTCCACTGGTTTGAGCAAAGCAGCTTTCTGTTTTAAAAATTATCATGATCTTGAAAAGCAAAATTGTGTTCAAGGTGAGGTGCAGGTTTGTATGAAGAACAGTGGGAAAACATCCTTTTTTCATTTTTTTAGTACTTTTGGACTCCTTTTCAGTTAGAGTGCACASTACAAAAGAATAACAGAAATCAAATGAATTGCAGTGTTTAAATTTAAACTCTTTAGCAGATRCGAAAATGTAGGGATCCAAAATATGCAGCTATGTGGATTTGATTTGCACYACATTCTGTAATTTTGTGTCAAGTTGAACAACAGGCGTAACACGGTAAGGAAGTTTTTCTGTAATGGTTTCAAGGGTTCCCTTGCTACCTGAGTCAAATATTTCTGCATGATGATGTTTTATGCTCCCTTACAAGGGAAAATTGAGCTCTCAAATTAGATAATAACACAATAGCTTGTGTTTATGGGGATTCCAGCAGCCGAACTCTTCAAATGAAAATCTCCCCTGTGAATAAAAGGTTTCAAGGCTGCAGCCTAATTGATTCTGTGCAAAGAGCTATCAAATGCCTGATGTGAGCAAAACGTAAGGCCATCCTCTAATTTCTTAATTTGAGGAGTTTTGATGCGACTTGTACTTAAAGTTAGCATTAAGCATRGGAAAAAAAATGCAGCCTTTCTCCCTTTAATCTATCTCTGATTAACCAACATTTACAAATGCAATAACAYGTTTCAGATGCTACTCATATATTTTTATCTTGGGGTAGGTCTGTTGGCTGAAACATGCATAGCACGATGCAGCGCTGCGCTACCTGATGGTAAATCACCTCATTTTTGGATTTCCTTTAGGTATAAGGGTCATTTCCTTTGATATAAGATGGAAATACAACCGAGGGTAAGATGGATCAAACCTATTGCACAGTTGCTCTGCTTTCTGTCTTGTTTCTTCTCGTGGCTAGTGTAAATATCCGCCTGTAACTACTTTGAWCTGCTAGAAACGACCTTTCTACATGTACAATTAACTCAACAAGTGACTATGGGTTTGAGACAGGAGGTGGCAGCCTTGAGTAGCAACTCACTGCTCATTATTTAAACCCAGATCCTAGTAGAAAGAGGAGCTGTGCAGAGGTAACTCAGGTAACTCCTATCCAAGCCCTTGTTCTTAAATGCTGAAATGGCAAGCAGCCTCATTATTAAAGGTGGCAGCAGCTTGAATTGCCCTTTTTGCCTTAACAAAGTGTAACAGTTTAACTGTTGCAATGTGGGGTTATGTCAGTTTTCTTAGATTTTGTAATGTTTAGGCTAATATCTCTAAAGGGAAAGACTGCGAGGTTTTGGAGAGGCAGAATTTACGCTGTCCCATTCTCTTCTGGGCTTCTTTCTTGCCTTATTAGGGAAAATCAACTTGCAAACAAGAATAATCTCCAATAAAATATTGCACTAGTTAAATAATATGTATATCAACGTTTAGAGCTTTTTTGAAGTCTTCGGGAAGGGCAGGGGATTATCCAGTGCCTGTGATCTATATGCAGATTGCAAGGTACTCGCATCTCCCTAATGAACTACCACAAAGTAATTTTGTTAAAAATGTCAAGCTGAAATTCTCCAGTCAGTGCAGATCCTTGCACTTAGCCCAGCCTTAGCACAAAGGGGAACGCGATGACATAATCATTCTTTCCCGATGAAAATGTTTTGTTGGAAAAAGACAAAGATTAAATGAATCACTGTAGCTACTCGTAACATCCACTTTTAATCTCTTTGGAGAATGTGAACAGTTCTGTTCCCTGGGATGATCAAAACGTAGCCAGGGTGTTTCTCTAGCATTGCTTTCTTCGGTGGGTGTTCATTGTAGAAATGTGGGTTTTAGTTTGTTTTTATGAATTTTGTATATTTGTGGATTGATTTTTTTTTTCCTCCTGCTCTAGAGTCTCAGCTCTTAAGAATATGTATTCTGGTCCAAAATGTCAGTTGAATTTCTTTTCATTCTTTTTCTAGACCTTCTGTTTGTGAAGAAAATGTTGGTAACACAATTTCAAATGTGACATGAAGGCTCAAAAACATGGGGACAAAATAAAAACCCCTTTCCTCCCCAAAATGCCTATTTTCAAACTTATTTTCCTTGTTATTTTCTGGGGAGGCCTAACGAGAGGCATCCCCAATGCTGCCTTTTGTACAAACTGTGAATATGTGAATGCWGCTGAGGATCATGCAGGTTTGCAGCCCAGCCAAAAGGGTGAATTACAGCCCCCAAAGCATGAGCAACACTGATGCACACCAAAAGTCCTCCTTTAAAAATCCACAAAGCAGCAAAGCCTTTGAWTAGGATCAGTTGTAACTCTGCTCAGAGAGTATACATGGGTATAAAGTGCAGGGATAAGCCTCAGTCCCAAAGAGAACTAATTTCCCATGCTTATTTTTGTTTCATCCAAGCCTATGGACMTAAACCACCTTTCTGTGTGCCCCCGTGGCTGGAGTGCTCGAGTGGAGCTGCACGGACACGGCGCAGTCTGCATGCACGGATGTGAACGCAGGAACAGGTTTGGTACAATGCCCACGTCCTGTTAGAAGAGCTTGTCAGGAAAACTTGTGTTTAATCTTCTCATTAGGCAAACATTTTCTTAGGTTTGCATAAGCAGTGGCCCAGCCGGGGCTTCCATACAGTCCTTTAATAACGAACAGGGCGTGGTGCCTGAATTTCCTCCCAGGCTTTTCTCCCATCTGTCTAGCAGGAGTCATTTATTCCTCGGCTAAGATCACCACTTGCTTTGTTTCTCCACCTCCTTCATCTGGGGGAGATAAGTCAGTGAATKAAGAGCTGTCTTTTTAGTCCATAAAGAGGGGTCCTTTGAGCCTGATTCCCTAAAAAAATATGGCTTATGTGATCATGCTSCTCTGTCCCAACATCTGTGCTAATAATATGGGCTCCACCTTGACCRTTTCACTTAGAACAAAGGGACAGAGGATTCCAGCCTTCCAGCTTCCTATCCGTTTTATGAAAACGGGTTGCAGGGAAGAGGATAGAGATCCTAGTACTGCCTTCTGCAGAGGGAAAAATCTGTCCTGCAAACTCATTTCTTCCGACTGAAAATTCATTCAAGCTCCCCTCTCCAGGCAGCCAATCTTCACTGCTTGCATTGCTCACACATTAGGTGGAAATAACTCTAACTTGGGTGGGCAAGGCTACCAGGAGSGAGGCATGGGCAAGTCTAAGTATTCCTTTGGCAATTCTGCAATGAGAAGACAGCAATCACAATGTAAAAACTTGTTTTTTCCCTATGCGGAATATGCAGTTCCTCTCACATGGGGATGTGGTAGCAGGTTGCAGTTGTCATGATGGCTTTTTTGATCACTCGGTCTTAAACGGTGCTGTATCATTCTGAAGGAATGAACTTGGTGATTTAGAGGTATTGAGCGCAAATGATTTTCCTAAGTGAATGTAACTGCTGTTCTGTATATGAGTTTAAACTAAGCTTTTTTTGTATGTGAGCTTTAAACTAAGCTTTCTTTAATGTTCACACATTCAGTGTCATGTTTCTGGAACTAGAGAACAAACCAAAAGTATATGCTCTATGAAAAAGTGCAGTAATCATGGGCCTTATCGTATGTGCAGTGCAGAAGAAATAGGGTTTCCTCTTTTGCCTGTGTAGTTTTGAAGTCCAAATGACTCCTTTGGTTTCTTGATTTTCTTAGGAAAACAGTAGCTGCAGCCTTGCTTAATATGGGGCAGGGAAAGAAGTTTCATTCAAGATTCAGATGTGCAGAGGAAAGACTTCCCATCCACAGCTCCTGGGTCCTCCTCGTAGCCATCTCCTGACCCATGAGCAGAGCAAGTTTTGTGAGTTCTCCCTAATTCACATTAAAATAACCTGGCCAATTTTTCTTAAACAGTTTAAAATTCTGTTCTGAGATACGYCAGATGCCCTTGCCTCCCCTGCTTTAACAATACTCCCATAAACTCTTCTATTGGCACATCTGGGGAGTGGTGAGGAACTGGCATTGTAAATTCYCTCCCTTGGCACTGCCAGGATTAGGGAAGACACCAGTGTGTGACATGAAAGCTTGCACAAGAATAGGGCAGCGGCAGGCAAGACTTCTGCCTCCACAAAGTAAAAGGCCTGAATATCCAAGCTCAGCACACAGAAAAACAAGAATGGAGGCACTTTTACAGCTAACAGTAGTGAGCCATCTAAGGTGTCTTACACTGAGAAAAATTCTAGGTAGATGGGATGAGCGGATCTGGGGATGTATTGAAGAGTTTGGGGCCCAAAGACCTGTTCTGAGGTCCTCATTAAATATAAATTACAGTTTTTAAGGGAAAACCTCAGGCTGTGAATGTCATGTTAGAGAATTCTAGTTCTTTGTGTTGTAGAAAAATCCACGAGAATTGAGCAGGTAGGTCCGGGAGCAATGGACTCCCTGAAGCCTGCTTTCCCAAGGATTGGTGCTGCATAGCAGAGTCTTTCGTGGCTGGTTAGGGACAAGCTCTGATCTCAGTTTTTCCCCTGGCCTGGATGGTCTTTGCATCTGAAGCTATTTGAGGAAGAAATGAGGGCAGTGGAACAGGCACTCGTGCACAAAATGCAATGACRTAGGCCTTTTTCTCTGAGGAAATGGGAACAGTTAGAGAAGGCACTTCCCCAAGCATGGTGATTTCCAGCCCTGCCGAGCTCCTCTCAAACCTACATTGTTCCTGTTGGCACAGAAAGGGTGAACAGAAGCAGCACTGCAAGTGCTCGCATTTTGTTGCCCTTGAAGCTCCTTGGTAAAGAGTTTACAACACTGTACTTTTGCAGGGGATTTTTTAATTATTATTTAGTGCCACTGTGTTTTACTTATTTATTATTTATTTATTATTTATTATTTATTATTATTTTATTTATTATTTTGTGCCACATAGCGCCAGTGCATGGGAAGGCTGCTTTTTCTGCCAGTGAAAATGAGCAGACTGACCTGTTGAGGCACCGCAGTCCCACCACGGGGCTGCACACAGCAAGGTGCTGCTTTCTGAAGAACTCGGAACTAACTGGCACAGTAAAATGAGCAGCGCTGAAAAGTTCAAGCATCTTGTCCCGCCGACGGTCAGTATTCAGCAAAGAGCAAATTCCTGAAATGATTTGTTCCATGTCATGTTCCACGACACCCGTTTCAGGGTAGATGGAATCAGCCCTCAGAAGGAGGCAGTGTTGCTGTCTCTTATGTGCAACTACCATCRCAGTGTTTTAAATAAATCCCAGTCTAAACAGCATATCCAGCTTTTTCTCGCTGAAAGCAAGTGCAAATACAGTCAGTATTTGCAAATGCAAAATTCTGCAGAAATGGAAATCGCTCTTCTATATTTCAGCCCATGCCACGGGGAGGCAGGAAGATTTCTTTGCAATTTCTTTGTTGCAATCTCGCCACTAAGAGCAAAGTGCTGATGTGGCTGTGCGTTTCTTGGAAACCCTCTTCCTCTTGCTGCTTCCTGTTCCCTCCTCAAGCCCTTGTGTTGCAGATGAGAACGGGGGCCCCTATAMACCCCCTTGGTGCTTGCTGGAGTGCAACAAGTCGCAGATGGGTGTCACTTGCCAGCCTAAGGGAATGGGGAGCAAAAGCGGGGCAGAAAGTTTTCTCTCAGCTTGTTCTGAAGCTTTGGCCCCGCTGCACCCTGTGGTAACACCYGTAGCCTTCACAGATGCTCCTTGGCTTTAAATTTAATGATTAAATTGAAGAGGAGGCGTTGCCAGCGTGTGCATTTGAATGCTGCTTTGGCGTAGGCTAGGGCTCGTTCACATGTCTGAATTTATAGAATTTCGTTTGCCAGGGTTTGGAGGGGGGACATACTGCTGTATATATTGATTGGACACCTCACCTCAGTGGCTTTATTTCAGAAAGTTTTTATGCCAAACGCAATGCAGTGCGCTCAGAAGCCAGAGAGGACCTGCTAGGAGCTGGATGTCTGTCCTTAAAGCCATTTGTACTTTCTGTTTTGTGACCTTGGCAGCTCCGTATTTGGGAAAGTTGTGCCCGTGCCACCTGCACCTGCGAGCTCTGCCATGCAGCAGCAGGTCACTTCCTTCCCAAACATGTCTGGCTCCTGATACCAGTGGGAAATTGGCAGCTCTTCTATGAAAGCAATTCCTCTTCTGGCTTTTCCTCGAGATAGGAAAGGAGTTGTTGTTGTGTCAGAGCTCTCYTGCCTGCTGCGTAACTGCTTTCTCAGTCATTCAAAGCCAGTTTGTCTGTAGAATATGGCAGCATATCTTGTAATGTGTATTATATTATATTACCCYGAGATAATTTTTTTTCCAGTATCATGGGTTAATTCTAAACAAAACTGYACACTCAAAGGAGAAAATATTTCCCTTCTGTTGCCTCAGGGCCTGTGTTTCTTCCTTCTTTCTCTGAAGGAAGAGAGTGTGGAATAAAGTTGCTATCTGTGACATGGGGTAAGAATCAACATAGTGGGATTTAAATGTTCTTTTCCCTCCATTTCATTGTCAAATCCAAAAGGTGAGAACTGGATGAACACGGAGCTGCTCTCCAGCTCTTCTCCATAGATGCTGGAAGCTGTCGCATCCTCGGCATTATAAGGGATCCTTAAGGCAGCGGGTAAGGTGAGAGGAGGTGGCAATTTTGGGGTTGCCTCTTGACAGCATGAAACAGCAGCATAAAACAGTATGAAACAGCAGCATAAAAGAGTATAAAACAGCTGCATTGGCCCTGCAAGTGGTTCAAAGCCACTGCCCTCCATCAAAGCGAGGGAGTTTATTGTATGCAGTGTGTTTCCCCAAATACGCTCAGTCTTCCTCTTCCCATCAGCTCCTGGAAATCAAGTGGGTCGTATGTATCTGTCCATGCTTTCATGTAGACTTGCCAGTGACACAGGTAATCCTGTTTCTCTTAAAATCAAGGTAAATATCTCTGTGTTCTGTCCATCTGTTCCAGACCCCAGCAGCTCGCTCATCACCATGGTGTTGGAACAGGCTGGCACACAAACAGCAATCAGCTGTTATTAGCGTAATACTATTACTTGGTCCATAAACCTAATATTGGCAGAGATGGTAGCCATCACACACGGTGAGCTAGTTTCTCAGCAGATGAACTGTGATAATATTCTGGGTTAAAATCAGTAARAGGAAGCTGTAAAGATTTATTTCAGAGTTGAACAGCCACCGTTTTTTAATCCCTAAKATTTAAAGGGCTAATTTATGCAGATCTAGTTAAACCAATAGCCCGTATGTATGCAATTTTCCTTACCCTTTCTTAAGCAGAATAAATTCCTGACCTATTTTGCAAGCTTCTTTACTGAGGCTTCTRTACGGAAATAAGATGGAGCCTTTTCAGGTGGCAGTGTCATTACCAGCGTGAAGCAAAAGTGAAACAAAACCATTAAAGCTCCTGGGCTGCGTATACAAAAACATTTGCTTGCTTTAGACGGCAAATTCCTGCTAAACTAACATTTCTGTGGGCAATTACAGTGTGTATATCAGTGCTGCAATAACAAAAAGGAATGCCCTTATCTGGGCTGCTTGTGATTGTGGCAGTCGACAGAAGGAGATTGTGTGTGTCCCAGTCTGACACACCTGAAGAGAACATTTTCCCTGAATATGAAACATAATGGCCATAATATTGATTCAAACTCTATTTTCATTAATTGAGGGGGAAAAAAAGCCCTAAATAAAGCCTATAAAATAGACTAATTAAGTGCATTGTTAGGAACGCCGTTGACAAATGGGCTTCATAAGGGTGGAGCCAAACAGAAAAGGATAGAGAGGCCTGTAGGAATCTTGTTCTGAGTGGAAAGGATCGTTCCATACAGCTAAATACTGCCTTGAACACTGAGCTTTTGGCTGAGCTGTGGGAAGGAGTCTAAAGTACCAGGTGATTTTTCATGTGTCTAGGTACAGCGAAGGGCAAAGTGCAGCATATTTACCCTGTCATTCCCTTTTATCAGCATTAGTTATTAAGCAAGTAGTGGAAATTAAGATCAACCTTGACTTAAATATTCTATGGACATTTTGCTTTAGGTAAACTTCATGTATTCCATATATTCCTTCCATGGTCTGGTTCCCATGGAGGCACRCCAAACTTTCCTTCTGGATAAGAAAGGGAAATGTGTTTCTATCCATTGAGCAGGAAAAGAAAATATGTTTAATCTTGGCATAACTGCCATGAACAAAATGGTTGGAACTTTCTCGGAGTACCCTCTCTGGTACCAAACAGCAAAGGGAACACAGTTGTTCTGATTACTTTTTTCTTCAAGTGCTGTCCCATAGAATAAGCTTTCTGCCCCATGCCACTTAGGTTGCTGTTGATTTAAGTGTGACATTAGTGTGTTTTTTGGAACCATGTGTTTTAGGGGATTGTCTTTTGGGGCAAAAACCCCAAGCTTCCATCCCGGTGGAAGGATTGTGTTGGACAGCAGCTGAATCCAGGTAGGTAGTCTCATGTTTTCAAACTGTGACCTTTTCCACGGTTCAAAAGGAATCTCATTAGTTAAGAGCACAGGCAACACTTGCACTGTGTAGGGACTGGGTGCATTTAGCTGTGATTTAGGTGATCTTTAAATAAATTCTCTTAAGAAACCAGGAGCAAGTAATTTCAGTTCACTGTGTTGAATAACATTCTCTCTAATTATTTTTCATTACAGCAGCCAACAGAATGCAAATAGTCTTCTAATTTCTTAGTGATGAATTTATAGCTCCTGAAATTATATATCTGTTCTTTCTCCTTTTGTGTGCTTTTAGGGAGAAACCAGAGCTGCATCATCACTGCCATTTCCATTTCTCCTTTGGTCTCAGGAGAAGGAATCTAAGGATGAATTAGTGCAGCACGACCAGCAGCCCTGCAAGAAAACACCCTACAGGAAACCCACAGGTGACTTATAGGCCACGCAGCTCATTCTTCACCCTCAGTGGTAAGCAGGGCCATAACAGGTCTGGGGAAAGCTGCTCCATATACCTGGAAACCAGTCTAATTAATTATCCACCTGCCTGTGGAATTTTGAATCTAACATTCTGTATCTTATAAATAAAGAACAAAAAAATTAATTTCAGATGAGAATGTTTTAGTCTTGAATCCTGCTTTTCTACCTCATTTCAGATATGTTTGCCTTGCCCTTTGCTTTTGGGGACTTTTTACATTTTTCAGTCATTGCACGGTGTTATTTAGTATTAACTTAGCACTCTTTCCTCATTCGGACTGGTTCCAGTGATATATGCTTGGAGGATTGACCTACAAGTAATTCGGGGTTGCTCTCTTGAAAATGAAATTCCTCTCCTGGCTTTAAGGGCTGCTTGCCTTACATATGTTGTGTAAAGACAAATCCTGAATACTTTGTRTCGCAGAAGAAAATTTCCACATTTAACTCATTCTTCAGTTTAATATCTTAATTTCAGCTATGTACAATCCAGATAAAGGATGCCTATTTGTTGCTGCCCTTAAGCACACCTATTTCAGKAAAGCAAAGCTAGGTTCGTTTTATTCTGCAGTCTGAATTTTTGCTTCTCATAAGGATTTTGCTACCGTAGTGGTTGATGTTTTACCACTTGAAACCACTGATTAATGTTCTTGACTTTTAGGCAGGGTGAAGCCTTTATTAATGTTGTTTTTTCTCAAAATCTGTTACCCACAAATGACTTAACTAGAGCAACAGTTGTAAATTCTTTGCAGTATCTCACAGCTCAGAAATTTTCTCTTTTTTCTTCTGCAAAGATTTCATTAAACTGACCTGCACCATCCTTTTCACAGGACTGTAATGTGTCCTTTGTATCCATGGCACAGATTAGGAGATTCAGTCTGAAATAACCGAGATAATACATAATCCTCAACTGCCATCTGAAGGATTGGTTACASATCTCTAAATTAGCCACAATTAGTACAGTCAGCGCTGTGTTAGGATCAAGATGAAGCCATCTCTCTTTTAAGAAATTATCCAAAGCCTGAGTTTCTTCTTTTTCAGCTTTTGTTACACTTCAGGATTGGTGCTGAATAACATCAATAAGAGATGAGCCCTATCTGCTTTTCTGTTGACTGTTAGTCCAATGCAGTGCACGACTTTCACCGAGGTTTAGTCTGCCAGCCAAGGAAGGTATGCAGCTATCTGCATTACTGATAGGATAAACCAGCTATGTGCCTTATTTTCACATCTTTCCAAATCCCACAGTAGGTGCTGAAGCCAAACCCTGGAGGTGAACTGCACCTCTTTACAGAAAGGTGCAGAGCAAAATGAAGCCCTGATGGAGAGCTCTTCTTGGCTGGCTCTTTGCTGCCAGTTGGTCTCTGTTGTGTTGCTGCTTGTAGGCATGAAAGGGAGCAGAGGAAGWGGGGACGAACAAGAAGAACTGCCTGGGCAGTGTGGGAAGTGGCTCCTGCTTTCCCTSTGTTTGTAGGCACTGTGAAGATTGGTGCTTCCAGAAAGCAGCGTGACGGGTGTTGGCAGACTGGGTGTCGCTGCAGCGGTGGGCCCCGCTCTCCTGGCATGCCAGCTAAGCTGCGCCTGCACGCACAAGGCACATGAGAAGAATTTGAGTAAGGGAGAGGTCAGGAAGGAGAATAACGGCACAAAAACTGGCTTTGAAGGAAAGGGATGAGCCCGTAGGAGGAAAGATGCAAGGAAGTATAGCTGCTGATGTGACTGGTTTGTATCAAGATGCATCTCTCTTTGCCCACTTTTGCCATATACATCCATGAGAAAAACACCAGCTCTTCGCTTACCAGGGAGGAACACTCCTCTAGAACCCTACAATCAACACCCACAAAACGCAGCAAAACAACCTCCGGCATTAAATCATCATCAGCGCTAAACAACATCCTGTGCCACGTGCAGGGCCGCCAGCGCAGCGGCACGAGTACGTGCCAGAGCCTTTGGGACGATAGAGCGGCGCGGGGACGGACGTCTTGAGCAAACAGCCACCTCGGCAGCGAGCAAATTCCAGGGAGCGCTTCCCTGCTGATCGCAGCCGGGTTGCAACACGCGTGAGTCAGAGGCAGGAGCCAACCCTGGGCAGTATCTGTGTATCTGGGTACTATGGTCCTTGCTGGAGCAAACGAGCTCCCTCTTGCTCCCCCGTGMTGCTGGGCCCTTTTCCGGGGTGCTTTTTCATAGCACCAGCGTTGGTGGCAGTCTGACCGGTAAGGAAGGGTTCCTGGAGCACCGGGAGAGCAGTGCCATGGGCAGGATCCCGGGTGGATATTCGGAGATGGTGACCTCAGAGGTTGTGCAATTGTGTCCCARAGGCAGAGCTGTCATTTTACAAGGAAACAAGCTGGCCAGGCCCTCAGCCGGCGCAGAGACAAGTGCATTGGCTCCGGTTCGAGCTCTGGGGATGACAGAAGATTATGATAAGAGATTCCCAGGATATAACGGATGAAATAAAGTGTAATTTATCTTTGGAATCCTTTTACCCTTGGGCTTTCTTGCCTTTCCACCTCGTGCGAATGGTAGAATTGTCACTGCTGGAAGTTTTTTGGGATGGAAACAGGTGGGACTGAAGCAGAGGATCAAACTAGACTCTTGGTGGCTCCTCCAGCCTCGTTTTTCTCTTCTTTTAGCGAAAGCACTCAGGTAATGTCCTGCAATCACAGTGTCTCATTGCTTCCTGWTGCTTGTGTAACAAGAGCGCTACCTGCCCCGACCCTCCTCTTCCTCCATGGCAGCTCGTGCGACGCCCTGTGACACACAGTGCCAGAGCACAGGCCCAAGACGAGGCGCACAGCTGGATATTGRCCATTTCCACCTGGTTTGCCCCCAACAAGCCCCATTAGGCCACCTGCTCCCATGGGAAGCAACATGGCCAAGAGCTCAGCTCTTCCAGTTGGCTCCAGAATCCCGTTTCCTTCATCGTTTGTGGTTTTCCARCCCCCTGAGTCTGGTTCTGCTGGGCCCGTCCCTCCCAGTGACACCCACAGGGCACAACCAGCTTCATCCTTGGACTTTGCTTTGCCCTTTTATCCTTAACTCCCTTTTATCGGGAGCTGAGAGGAGGGTTTGCCAGCASCCCCCTCTGCCGCAGCTGAAAGGGGCTGGTTCTGTTGGCAGGAAAGCGGCGGTCGTGGAAACGTGAGCTCTGCCGGAGGGTCGCGAGCGACATGACAGGGATCTGACGCCAYCGATAAGTCAAAATTTAATCAAAATAAGTCAAAACGCAGTCAAATAATAAGTCAAGGTTGATGCTCCCATCTGCGCAGCAAGAACTGGCCGCGATCGCTCAGCCTGGGGCAGCGGCCTGCCCCGCGCCCCGCCCCCGTGCCCTTTTTTGGGGACAATCCCCGAATCCCGC